TATATTATATATATATATATATAAGCCTGGGGGGTATGAAACTAGAGTAAATTCAACAAGAAATGATTTAAGGCACTTTTAAGGCAATTTAAAATTTAAGGCAAGATTTAAGGCAGTTTTGCTTGTGGATGAAAAATGTTGCACATAAAATAAATTAACACATTCAAGAGATGACGATTTTGGGTTTATCTGGGTAATAAAAAATAACATCTTTAAGGATAAAACTGTGGGTCACATTAGTAGGGTTCTTCTCCAAAGGCGAGATCTTCGAGCAGCTGCCCGACGTCTCCTTTGTGTAGACATTGCAAACGCCATACTAGGTAGGAAAACCGTACTAGGTAGGGTTGTCGAGTTACTGATGCTGAGGTGTTAGTGCACCTGTCGCCTTTTTTTCCTTTTTTTTTTTTGCAGAACTTATAATTACATACAAGGTCAGGGAAAGATGCATGGTTGTATCTTTAACAATGAGCTATCAATGACAGAAGAACAGAAAACAAATATCATGGGTTTGTGCACATCATACCATGAGATTATAAACAGAAAAAAAGCACAATGACAAGGTTAAGTATCTTTGAATAATTCACCATAAAGCATCTTAAAAAAAAATTTAAAAAAAAAAAATATATATATATATATATAATAAAAAATAACATCTTTAAGGATAAAACTGTGGGTCACATTAGTAGGGTTAAAATATAAGAACTTAAATCAACCCAAAATGTATTGGTTATACTACAATCACAAAATAAATTGGCAGTCTTTTCATCAACAACACCACAAAATGAGCAAGTTTAATCAATATCAAGATATCAAGATATTTATATTTCAAGGATGAATTGAACCTGTCGCTCATTTCTTTTAAGTTGTTGCGGTTGTTATTACGTCTTAGGTCACATGATAACATGAACATGGCGGATGATGTCCGGATCGCATTCATACTTAACGCTTTCCGGTTATAGCATACGTACTCTTTTAATTTAGTTAAGTAAGTACTTATTTAAATTATGTACCTACTCAGATAGTATGCTGTTTCAGACGCAGCCACTGTCTGCGTGTTTTTTTATTTTATTTTTATTTTTATTAGACATTAAAGACATAACATGCAACAGTTACAACTTTAACAAGACATCCAAAAAGATAACACATTTAAAGGAATGGGTTTACATTACATAGAAAAAAAAATAGAAAAAAAATCAAAATCAATAATAATACTTAAAGAAAAAAAAGACAGCATATACCCGTTCAATTTTCAAGTAACTTCAACTTTTTAGCGAATAAAATTGTATCTCTACATTTTTTGTTATCAATACATTGGAGAGACTCAAAATACAAATGAAAATCAGTCATAAAGACCTTCAAACAGGGCACTGTCTGCGTGTAGGCATACCCCTTGTCCAAATACCCACACTTGCGGTCTTGGCCACTTGAGAGCGCGTGCGCGCGACGGGAAGTAAGTGCGCAAGACTGTCCCAGGTCTTAAAAACGCCAGAGCGCAGTGGCCTTAACGCACACTAAATCCACACTATCTCGAATACCGCTCCGGAGCGCTATTCGAGGCTTAGTGTATCCCATCATGCATCATGTTCTGGAAATAAATAGTGAGACTCTTTGCCGAGATCTCGCGAGAGGTCACGGAAACCTTTCCAATGCAAGTTAAATATTAATATAATAATTAGATATTACATATCATTTGGTAGAAAAACAGTGTTTTTACGTTTTATTGGTGCAAAGATGAGTAGTGGTGGTATTTATTTTGTACAACATTTGCAACTGCTTTTTATCACTTAATTAGAAGCACCACAAATTAAAATTGTCATGTTATAGGGACTACTGAACAGACATTTAGAAGTTGATTTTAACATGCAAAGTATTTAAAATTTAAATTTAAATAAAGTTATGTAAACACTTGCATTTTTACAACACTACAAGTGTGTCCCATCAGGTAATGAAAAGTTCGACACACACTTGAGGTCTTCATGCTCACTTGAACACTTGGGCCAAATACAGGAAATACGTCATATAAGTAGTCAAGTGGTCAAGTGCAAAGACCGCAAGTGTGGGTATTTGGACAAGGCTAAAGACCTTTCGCCGAAAATTTCGTAACACCGGAACTCGTTCTTCAGCCAATCAGCGAGCACGATACAAGCATGTGGCTTATGACAATACTGAAACATGGAGGCTGACTTTTGAGAGCGAGCAGTGTGGCCAGTTGTATTTGTAAGACATCGCGTTTGTTTATATGTTGTTATGTTATAAATGAGGAAGTTGTAAAATTAGTCTCCGTGCTTACATTATCTTTTCTGTCAGTGTGGTGTCCTCTGGAGGGTTTAATAAGTAATTTGCATCTAGTTCTAGTCATTTTTTAAAGTAGTAACGTTACAAAGGAAAATTCAGAGTGTAGTTTCCGCAAGGTGTAGCAGCACAGTTTATGTCTGTTTAATGTTTAGGTTTTATGAATTGTGCCTTATTAGACTAGAATTACAGTTACGGAAGTGCGCTGCATTAACAGGGATGCCATGCTTAAACCTGGAGGAAATTTCCGGAAGACCAGCAGCGTGAAGTTTTGCATTAACTTTTTTTCCCTCCTTTCCCGAAATTATTGCACAATTATTGTGCGATTAAAAATTGAAACGGTCTGAATTGGGCGAAAAGATCGATGCGTGTCGGGCAGGGTCACTGGTTCCCCTGATTAATTTGAGTTGCAGCTGTGTAGGGATCAGTTTCTCTTGAGTCATTTTGGTTTTCCAGTGAAAATGCTGCTGTCTCTGGTCGTGCACACTTACTCGTTGCGGTACTGGCTTCCAGCAGCGGTGATGCTGGGCACCGCTCCTGCTTATTTACTGTCCTGGAGCGTCTGGCGTCTGCTGTCCACTGTGCTGCCGTCCAGACTTTATCACTCTGTGGATGACCGTGTGTATTCAGTGTATCAGAGTATGGTCCTGTTCTTCTTTGAGAACTACACGGGAGTGGAGGTTAAGTATGACTTTTTTTTACTTTAGTGCGTTTACCTTTTTTCAGCTTTTTCTTCACTAACTACATGTAACTTCTGAATGTTTTATCCAACTAAAAACAATACTGGCCCCCTTGTTACATGTCTAGGATATATTGGCATATATAAGTCATTAAATAGTGCTTAAAAATGTACCACTATTTCATACGTTCAATTAACTAATTCTTGTTCTAATGCCATTAGTTTTGAAACCATTAACATTTCTATTTTGAAGTTAATCTTAAACTAAACATCTCTCTCTCTCTCTCTCTCACACACACACACTGCATGACCCCAAAAAAAGTGCCATTTGGATTTAAATAAGCAAATACTGAAGAGTTTGGACTGTGTCATTATTGCAGTGGTTAAAGGAGTCATAATATGTTGCTAAAAAGAACATTATTTTGTGTATTTGGTGTAATGAAATGTGTTTATGCTGTTTAAGGTTCAAAAAACACATTATTTTCCACATACTGTACATTATTGTTTCTCCTCTATGCCCCGCCTTTCTGAAACGCATCGATTGATTGGCCAGCTATCTAGTGTGTTGTGATTGGACGAATACCTCAAGCGTGTGACGGAAATGTTATGCCCCTTACCAGACTGTGATGCCCTGTCCGGCCGGAGCGACGAGACAAAAACATTAAAACCCATTATAAACGAGGCATTTGTTGCATCCAGTGGGGACATAATTACGGATTATAATGACTTACACTGTCTTTTTACGCGTTGCATCGCACTACATAAACATAAAACCATGTCTGCATTTGTGATCGGAGAAATGACAAACAAGCGCTACTCTACACTGCTCAAAACTCGCGCTTGAATCATCAGTGGCAAATCCTTTAAATATAAAAAAAAACGTACTTTCAGTCAGTGAGTCAGAACAGCCGGCATTTTAGTCTACTCTATCAGGATCAGGAAACAGTCCTCCAGCTCGCCTGAAGTTATGGTTGATTGCTCTTTGGCTGGATATCAACTCACCCATTAACGTAAATTACGCCAGAGCGCGTACACACCTTACGCATCGGATGCCATGCGCGCGCTCAAGGAAGTTGGACATAGTGGTGTATTAGAGGTAAAAAATGATATAAATACTGTTTGGTTTCTCGCACAAACCGATCGTTTCGTGTCTTAGGACATCAATGTGTCGTCACGAGCCGCAGGGTTTAATTTGGATTTGTCTGTGCATGTTTTTTTTACTCCAAACTTTTGACTGGTACTGTACTATAATATACACAAAGAATATCGGCCAATATATCGGTATCGGCTTTTTTTTTTACTCCCTAATATCGGTATCGGTCCCAAAAAACCCATATCGGTCGGGCTTTTATATATATATATATATATATATATAAATAAATAAATAAATAACATTTTATATTTTTCCCCAACCTTATGCTTAAAATTAAGTCTTTTTTCCACATGGTAATGGGAGTGTATATTTATGTGCACAAGAACAGATTTATGATAACTTTACAAATGTATTAAAAAGAAAAAAACTGAAATATCATATTGATTTTTCATATTGATTTTTTGCGATGATGTTTGAAATTTAGCTCCGGTGCATCAGGTGAACTCTTTTAGATGTTTCTACACATTCATTGGTTGAGATAGGGAGATCATGTGTACAGTGCAGATGAGAGAACCTTTCAGAAGGACAACCATCATATGCAACACTGACCTGAATTCTGTCAAGGTGGAACAGTGTTGTAAACTAACAGTGTTGAACTACCTTTCCTTATTGCATGACATGTGAAACCCTGCTTGAATTAAAATACTTATGTAATGTGATGTTCTAGTTTTTGTTATGAAGTATGGAGTGTAGACTGATGTGAAACAAAATTAATTTAAAAGCATTTTAGCATATAAATATAACATAAGGGTCTGAATACTTTTTTATCCACTGTGTATAACAAGAAGCAGCTGATTTCTTTTGACATATTGATAGCAGAAAAATTCCTGAATGTTGTTTTTAGATTTACATTGTACAAAAAGCACAAATGGATCATCAGTATCATCAAACATTTTGACCGAACTCTTTCTTGCATGTATTCTCTTGTCATTTTTGCTTTTTCTTTCAGTTCAGCTTTTTGCAATCCCTTTAATCTTGTCACCTTTGTAATAGATTTGTTACTTGGCCTACCATGTTGTATAGAGACCTCTGATCATTAATTTTTTTTTTTTTGTGTTCCTTAGCATGTTTGTGTTTTTGGGGCAAAGCAATGAAGGGAGGGCTGTGTTTGTTTTGGGTAGGGGTGTGTTTGTTTGTATGTTGATTTAATGTATCAGCAGTGTTTGTCAGATATCGCTTACTGCACCTTTAAGTGCATAAAATCCATATCAATTAAGCTTACTGAACAAAACAGATTTGTTTCCATTTACTATAAAACTGGAAACTAGGCCTTTTTGTCAGACAGTACTATCTTCTAAGTCATGTTCATTCTAACCATATTGTTCTTGTTGTCTAATGTATTGAAATGTTCATGTAAATATCTGTCCAGATTGTCATTTATGGGAACATACCAAAGAAGAAGGAGAATGTGGTTTACGTTTCAAACCATCAATCAACAGGTAGGTCTCAACGCTCTATAAATGTATATATGCTCCAAAATGTGTGCTACTAAATGTGTGATGCAGACCATGAGAGAACTTTTTTTTTCTTTTTTTTTTTTACCATGTAGGTAAATACTATGGTACCACACTGTATATCTCGGTATCATAGTATCTGACACCATCACTGTACCATTTGTAAGGGTTGTGTTCTCCATTGTAGCTGATTGGATTATTGCTGACATGTTAGCCATCCGACAAAATGCACTTGGACACGTAAGATACGTCCTGAAAGATGGTCTGAAGTGGCTTCCTTTGTATGGATGGTATTTCTCACAGGTAGTGTGCATATGTAATTTGAAACTTTAGATCTCATTCATGTTCATGTTTATTGAATGGGTTTTATAAACTATTTACTCAAGTTTATTCTGCTTGTGTTACATTAATAGGACCAGTTGTATGTTTATGACTATGATTGATGTCATTCACAGCATGGAGGTGTGTATGTGAAGAGAAGTGCCAACTTTGATGAGAAAGCCATGAAAAAGAAATTATCATCTCAGACCATACTGGGTACACCTGTGAGTATATATCCATGGCACTCAGTGACTGAAAATCCGGAAAGCAATGCTTGACACATGTATATAGAATTCATGTGATGTGCAGTCATATGTCTCTCTTCTGTATATTAAATGTTTTATATAATGGCTTCAATTAGGGCTGGGCGATAAAATAACGATAATTATTGCAATATAATTTTCCTCTAACATTTTGATAAAAGTTCGATATAATGTTTATGCGCCAAAAGCAGAAGGAAACAGCGCTGCTCATTTGAACTGCACCACATGGACCATTTATCCGCTTGTCACAAAGTTCACACAGTCAGAATAATTAAATTTCACCATATAAAAATTTGGTTGTTACAATTTTTTTACAGATGTTTCTGTTTTTGATTAATGAACATTTACATCTGCATTCTAACTCAAGCTACTACTGTCAACTCAAGCTACTGTCAAATGTGCATTTCTGAGACAAAAAAACGTGATATTAATATTGCTGCCTGCACTGCAAACTGTGCTGAAGATACTCGTTATCAAAGTCAGGCAACACAAACTTGTTTCATGATTTGAAAAAATATCACTCATTAGATCATTCAGAAACTAAGAAATTCATTTTTCTATTAAAATTTTTTTTTTTTTTAAGGAAACGCTACTGGAAAAGTTAAGCATTTGTCATGTTTTGACCATTTAAAGAGTAGTTTAAAACCACAATTAACGGTCTGGTCTCTACAACTTTTACTCAGGAGAAGAAATCTGCCTTTAAACTTGAATGAAATAAAGATTTGAAATGTATTGTGATAATTATCGGTATTGACTGATATGAAAAATTTTATTGTGATATTTTTTGGCCATATCGCCCAGCCCTAGCTTCAATGGGTAAAGATACTCCTTTATGTCAGGATCCATTATCTCTGAAGCATATTTTGATGGACTATAATGTCTTGAACTCCTCTAGGACACTTTACTTTTCAGGTGACTCTTCTAGATTTTTTTTTTTTTTTTTTTTAATGCATTTTTAAAAAGTGTTACTTTTTTATTTGTTTTATATCGTTTATTTACTTTTTCTATTTTTCACTTGGTTCTCACCATGAATATAGCCATGGTAGCTGCCATGGCTCTAAATTATAATCAGTCAGTCAATCAAATAATGGCTTCTGATTGTTCAGAATGTGTGTCAACTAGGGCTGCAAGATATTTCAGAAAAATGCAATATGCTATAGCTAGCGAGATATTCATGAGAACTTGCTGAAACCGCATACTGGACTTGTCATTCTGTGCTTGCATCCTCCAGGCAGCAATCCAAACAGTAAATCTAATCACCATACAGGCAAAAGTTCACTTTAAGAATTAAAGCTGCAAGCAGCGTTGAAAGGGCACTCGCACCCGAAGCCACCTCCACTCGGTGGCCTTAGGAAAACAGCGAACGGTGGGCAATATGCATTTAAAGTGGTAAATATGGAAGGAACATTTCAAAGTCATTTATATGTGCCAAACTTCCTGCTGCCAGCTGGTGGGGCTATGACTATTACTGAATATTGATATGTAGATGTCTTCAGGCCAGGACTTTAATCAAACATATGAAGTTTGGTGCAGATTGAACATAGTATGTTTGAGTTACACCATGTCCTAACCAGACGTGACATGACAAGATTCCAGCGCCAAGCAATTTGGCTGTCCACACCAGACGGTATGATTTTTCCCATTATAACAAAAAGAGAAGTAGTAAGACTTGAAACATTTTAAATAAAGATAATTGTTTTACCAAGGTAGAGATTGAGGATGATTCCCACAAAACTACTTTCTGCAAGCTTTTTTCAAGATAAATGAAAACATTTTTTTTAATTTTCATAATTCGCAATTTATCTATACAGTGCTACAGCAAAAACTGAGAAAAAAAATACATTTGATTAGAGAGCATTTTCTATACATTACATAGAGTATAGAAATAACTACAAGTCAAGCTGCAATACCAAACACGACCACACAGAGACGCAGACAGACCACTATACCAGTCACCTTAACCTGACTGTATATAAATATATACCGATCCATTCCAAATTATTAAACGGAGCAAAACATAAATTTAAAAAGTAAAAAATAACATCCTGAATTTGTCAAATATGGTGATCTGAAGGCAGCTCGACATCACCAGTGAACAATTCCTCTGTCAGAGTGAGTGTTCATTCCCATATATAAACACCACTGACCGCAGCAAACTCCTATAAAAACACGCTTCTTCAGCAAGTGTCAATTATAAAACACTTGCCAGACATGCGAGCATACTGAAATGTGCTTGTGCAAAAAGAGAGCGCACATACACGGTCTGTTTGTTTGCACATTAAGAATAACGGGCGTGTCTAATAATGTACGACTCCTGTATGTCACTGTAATCGTCTTTACCGCCATTACAATCATCATCCATCAAAACTTCACTGGTTTCCTTTATGCAGCCCATACAGACTAGTCCTGACTTCATATTTCTTATTTACAGAGTTTGTTCCCACCAATCGCTGCAGGGGTTAAGGTTACTTATGATGACGAAAGCATGTTAGTGCTCGCCCTCCCGGAACTCATAGAGATTGCATTGCAGTGCCTGCAGTTCGAAAAAGAACATCTTCTTCTTGTACGATTTTATGGCGGTTGACAAGCCAACTTATGGTGTATTACCGCCACCAACTGGACTGACCGCCTACCGCCACCAACTGGACTGGAGTGTGAAGCATTAACGGGAAAGAGGGAAAAAGGAACCCAAAAAAAAAAAAAACTAAAACGAAGCAAAACAAACAAAAAAATAAAAAACCCATTCCATAAATAAATAAAACAACCGGTAGTATTAGGTACATATGCTCTTACCGCATAGCTGACATATCCAATATATACTCTCTCTGGCATTTTTTCTTCATCAAACTGAAGCATTACAGAAAGACTATCTACTTTCTCTTTATTACGTACACATTTCAGTCTTTTCACTTCAATCACCTTAGCCCCCTTTATGTTGCTCTTTATTGATTCGGAAGATACATCAATTGGAATTCCATAGATTACTCCCCTTAACCAAACTCTCTTACTTGGTACTGTGCAACTCACCGATTGACCTAGCATTGATTTTATGCCCTGTGCCTCTTTCTGTTGTTTTTCATTTTTACAGAAAATTAGAATACTCCCATTTCTCAAAGTCTTGGCACTCTCTACGTCTCCTACTGCTTTCTTTATTGCTTTGGTCAATTTTACTGGATTGATCACAAAATCATCTGCAAACTTCATCAGTACCTTGAAATCCTCCTTGCTTGTCCGTACCAGCATACTGTCTTTTTCACTCAGTTCCCGATTCTTGTCTACAACTTTTCTTTCTTTTACGATTAATAATTTTACTCCAATCATTTGCTCCTGAACTCCTACCGCTACATTCTTCCTCCATCTCCGGATCACTTCCGGTACTACCGTCACTTCCTTCCATCAATGCTCCAGTCACAGTCCAGTGTTCGCTCGAAATCTCTAGAGACACGTCGAACCCATTTCCACTTCTGCAGCACAGCTCATGTGAAACACCCGAAAAAGAACATCTTTGTATGGAAGTCTATAAGAACAGTCTGGGCGATTCTTGCTCAGAGAGAAATCGCCCAAAAAGGGGCGGTACTCCACAGAACGTGACTTGATGCTGATTGGACTGTATATCCAGAGGCAGAATAAGCAGTCTAGAACAGTGACAGCTGTGATAGATAAAAAAAAAAATACCTCCCTTTCGCACTTTAGTGGTGGGTCACCCAATCGCCCTAATGAAGAAACCGCCCCTGGAATGAAGCATATAATCAGTACCTGAGATTATCAATGGGTACGTCTCAATCAGCTCCCGCGCTCGTGAATCAGTATATCATGTACACGAATTCGGTCACTGGTAAGTTCCCTGGCTCACTGCACATTGGGACAGTGATTACTCAATTTCCGGTGACATGACTACGTACAATGTCAACGAACAACATTGTAGAACGTTACCGCAGGTATTAATCAACAACAAGCAGGACAACAAATAACTCTTTTTGATATTATTTGTTATTCTTTTTAAACACATTGTTCTTTTACGTGTTCTTACAACATTTCAGCCGAATTTTAATTATAAATGTTAAGTAGATGTGTTCATTACCTGTCTAGCAATGCGTGAATATACAACAACAAAAAAAGAGTTGTCTTTTCAAATCTTCTATCGCGTGTCATTATATTTATCGAGTGGGCTTGTGTGGTTTGTTTCCTGCTTCAGAGATGTGACGTAATTTCTGGTAAGGGAGCATAGTGAGCACCGATGCTCCCTAGTTTGGCTGACTCCCTGATCAGTGCCCTTACTACTGAACTAGTGCGCTGATTTGAGACGCACCCATTGTCATATTTTGTATGTTGTTGTTCCAGCCGCGACGTTGCATAAATAGAAACGGTTTCTAAAATAGAAACTCCATGTGTCGTGTCTGGTTAGGACAAAAACTCTGATTAACACCGAAAAGATGCTTTTTATCGAGTGTTGGGGGCGTCGCGTCACGTGTAGTTAGGACACGGTGTTACTGTGTGTAATTATTCGCGCGAGTAGATTACATACAAAGTCAATGCAAAGACGCGAATAGAGGCGAAATGCGCGACGCGTTTGCCGCGAACGAGAGATCTAATCAATCAATCATATCATATCAATCGCGTCTTTCGTGATTTGAAGTTCAAAAATTTCAACTCAGCGGAAAATTCGCCTGACGCGTTCAATCAGCGAAGAGCTTATTGGCACGTCTGGTTGAATCAGAAAATGGAGGAGCGCATTATTGTAATTTATCTGTTTGCGGGCACCCCGAAATATTTGATACAACTTCATATTCTTATATGGCTGTCATCCAGGCGCAGTTCCTGGAGAAGATGGTGAAATTCACCGAGTTGTGTGCGCCTCTGTATGGTGCTGTGAACCCAGACACGTGTGCGTTTGGCTTTCAGGCGTTTTTGGGACTTCCACAACAGGTACAAAGCAGCGATCGTATTTATCCTCACCATGG